GGCGCGCCCGCAGGCCAGGCCTCCTTCGGGGACGTCCCCGGGCGGCGCCCCGGGCTCAGGCCCGGCTGCCACGACGAAGCCGGCCGAGACCTGAGAGCCCGCTCCGGCCCTGTCGGACCTGTCCCGCGTCCCTGCCATGGCTAAAGGGCCGCGCCCTTTGCCGAGCCACACTCCGGGGAAGCCCTGTGCGTGCGCTGCAGTCCCACCTGCAGGTAGCGACCTCCTTCGGGGACGTCCCCGGGCGGCGCCCCGGGCTCAGGCCCGGCTGCCACGACGAAGCCGGCCGAGACCTGAGAGCCCGCTCCGGCCCTGTCGGACCTGTCCCGCGTCCCTGCCATGGCTAAAGGGCCGCGCCCTTTGCCGAGCCACACTCCGGGGAAGCCCTGTGCGTGCGCTGCAGTCCCACCTGCAGGTAGCGACAAGATTGGCCACTTCGGCCGCAGGTTCCTCCAGTCCCAAAAGGTCACAGTGCAGAAAGGTCAGGAGGACGGACACGGAGGCTGGGACTTCGGTGAGGCTGAGACGTGGCAGAGCCCGTGGGAGGCCGGCAGGGTGGCGCCACTTGTCCGTATGGTGACTGGACGTTGGGTGAGGGGACCGTGCGGGGATGGAGTGGAGGCGGTCGGGCGAGCTTCGGACGGCCACTCACAGACGGCTGCCCTGTCGACATTCAGGATATTCCCCTCAGGCCCGGATTCATCCAGGGCCTCCTGGGAGAGGGCCCAGTGGACAGGAGGTCATGCGGGGGTTAGGTGCTGGCCTCGGGCAAGCGGCCGGGCTCTGAGTCTCAGCTTCCTTCTCTGGGAAGGTACTTGCTGATCCCTGCCAGACAGGGTCTTGATGCGGCCAGCACATGCTGAGTGCCAGCCCTGGTAAGTGTGCGAAATTCCTCCCAGCTGCCCTATGAGGCGGCCACCGTGGTCGGTATCCCCACTTCTCAGAGGAGGAAACAGGCACAGAGAAGGGGTGTGACCTGTATACAGCAGAGCCAGGCAGTGTCCCACGCTCCAGTCTGCCGGCTGCGAGGGCCAACCGAGGCCTGGCTGGCTCCCTAGGCGTCACTGACCCATAGGAGGTGGAGGTCTGCCGGGGAAAGGCAGGAGAATGATGGCCCCCCAGCCACGCGCGTTCACTCAGATCCTCATCTAGGCCTCAGCACTGGCTGTGTCCTTTGTTACCAAAGTTAACGTTACAGGAGCCTTTATATCCCCGCCGCCGTGACAGGAGGTGACTGAAATGACAGGTTCAGAGGAGACGAGGTGGGGCTGCTTGTTTCCGCAGGGTCTGGTGGCTGTATGCCCATTTGCGGTACTCTCCCGAGAACCCCCATCTGTGTGACACCTCTACACAGCGGGGACACTGAGGCAGACAGGTGGGGTGGGGGCCTGTCTCAACCTCCAGCCTCACTCCCCGGGAATTTAAGGGTCTTTTCCCTGGGAAGACGACGACGAAGGTACAGCTTGGAATGCACATACATTGTCAGTTCTTGCACAGCCTGTGGAAGGCCACGGCTTCAGCCTCCCCTCTCGCTGGGCGCAGAGAGGCTCACTGATAAAAGTTTCTTTTTAAAATGCTTAACTGGTAACAGCCTGATTTCACTCTAGCACAGTGCAGATGTGCCATCAGGGTGTCATCGTCACAGAGCTCTGGGGACTTGGCTTCAACCGAGGTCCCTTTGAGAAACTACAGGGTAGAGGTGCAGCCTGTAGATGGCACATTGAGGGGCTGTGACACCTGTGTCCCCTTGGTAGCCAGAGTTGGGGAGTGCAGGCAGGAGACCTGGGCAGGGCGCATGAGGTGGTGCTGCCCCCAACAGCAGCTCACCTAGGAGTTGGCCTTTGTGGGTCCAGCCATGGAGTCAAAGGTGGGGGCCACATGTGACCCAAAGGCTAATCCCTACCCAGTGGGTGCCTTGTTTCCTCACATCCAAGACCTCACAGCCATCTGCCATACTTAGCACAGACACGATCCCCCCACTCCCCACCTGCCAGCAAGGCCGGTCGTGTCTTCCATCCCTGGAACCTCACACGTTTGTACAAGGAGGGGAGACTCAGGCTAGGGAGAGGAGTCGTGCAGGACCCAGCTCCCCAAGGCCCTTCACAGGCAGGTCCTCTGAGCTAGGCCTCCTGACACCCCGTAGGCCCCCCGAGGCATTGTCCGCCTCTCTTTTCTGGTCCACACCCGGGCCTTGCCCCAATCTGACCTTGCCCTTGGCCTCCCTGAGGGAGCCTTGAGCAGATCACTTCAGCCTCAGTCTGCACAGCTGTGAAATGCAGACCTACTCCCACCCTGACTGAGGACTCTTCCGGGAGCCCATGGGATTGAGGAGCAAAAGCATCTGTTCAACGGCAAGTGGGTACCCAAAGAGGCACATACAACCTCTTTTGTACCTTGGACAGAAGCTCCTGGAGCCCAGTTTTCACCCTGAGCCTTTCTGACCACCCCGCCCCCCCCAAGCTGGGCCTGATGCCATGTCCTGTCTCCAGACCAGCCTCCTCATGGTTTCATGAGTTCCCTCCTGCCTGTGTGTCCCCTGCTATCCCTCACCTCCTACACCCTCAGGAATCCACTCCTCCCAATACCCAAGACTGCTCAGCGGCCTCCATCCTGTTCTTATGAGCACCCTCCTTCCCCCACGTCTGACCCCTAAATTGCTCTCCCCCAAATGTTCTGTGGCCATGTTGGGCTCTGTCCTGCCAGGCTGGCTCCACTGCTTTTAACCCTTAACAGGCTGTAACTATAAAAGTGGCCAGGTCTTTCCGGGTCAAGATGGTATGCTGGACACATGCTTCTCCCCTGGTTCAGAAGCCCACTAAAAATAGAGTATTTAAAACAAACCCTGTGGGTTTATGAGGACAGTGGAGGAGGAGAGATAGGCAAAGGCATTTTGAAGCTAGGTGGGGTGGGGGAGCTGGTATTGACTTGAGAGATGTGGGGATAGGTTCCACCAGGCTTTTGCTACAGAATTGCAGAAGGATTGAAAACTAGCAGCCCTGGGGAGGGGAGACCTAAAAGATGGCTGGTGGATGCAGCAACAGCTGTAAGAGCCCCAGCTCTGTCCGCAGTGGATGGTGGAAGAGTCATTTCTAGGGAATCTGCAGTCCTAGAGAAAAGACCTAAGCCCCCACAGAACAGTCCAATTCGATGACGCTACTTGGAAGAGGTGACAAGCCCCAGTAACACACACGCTCAGAGTCCACAGCTCTTTATCGCGAGCTGGCAGCCGAGGATTTCTAGATATCAGAAGAAAGCGACACAGATAGATGGCAAATTAAGATTTAATAAGTCATGGTTCAGCCACTCGATGTGTGGAAGCAAAACTGGCCCCGTCCCAGTCAGATTCTTAAAACGATAACATTGCCTGTTGTAATAAACTAAAAGGTCACTTTAGTCTGGCTGCCAAATTCAAAGGTTGAGCATGTCCCATAAGCCTGGACAAAAACCTCCATCCCTCACTTTGCAGTTCAATACTGACATCCAAAGGTATGTCGGTATAAATTATGGGACAGTTTCCTCGTCAGTAAATGAGTGCCCATCCGGGGCAGGGCGCTCAGCGGAGGTCGAATTAAGGACCCCTGCACCCTTCTCCATGGAGAAAGCCCACGGATCAGGCCAGCCTTCCCAGCCGCTTCCTCCTGGGCCTACCCAGAGGCGAGTCTCGACCCAAGCGTCCACTTCTGGCCTCCCTGGAGGGCGGGGAGACGCTCTAGCAGTTGCCTTGGAAACCGCTTCTGTTGGGAGGGGGAAGGTGCTCCAGAGGTTACCGAAGCAGCCTCAAGAGGAGAGGCCTGGGCGGAGTGTGAGCTCTGATTGGTCGACCGGTCACGCTCCGCCCTGCTCTTCACCTCAGTTACCAATAGGAACCAGGTCCGTTATGCACAGGCGCAGGGTTCCAGCGTACCGTCCATCTTGGTAGTTGGTGAGTCCTAAGGCTCGGATGCAAAGGAAGAGTGGCCGCCAGTGAAGGGAGGGAACCCCTCAAAACTCTGAGGCTGCAACTTCCTCTGCAAGAGACGGAGCGTCTCCTAATCGTGTGTGAGAGGTCTCTGAAAATGAGCATCCTCTGGCGGAGGCCGCGCCTGTCCTTGCTTGCTTAGGCTCATGGGAAATGTAGTCTGGCGGGGGGAGGGCGGTACCTTCGGGACAGGCGCGTGATTGGCCAGAGCGTCGCCAGGGTGAGGTGGGCGGGGACGGCTCTCTGCGCGGCGGCGGGGATGCGCGCAGGCCGGACCCGGCTGGGCGCGACTTCTTCCGCGGCCCCGGCACCCGGTCGGCCCCTGCCCTCGGGAGCTCCCGCCTATCTCCCGACGTGCCCTGCGCGCCCCACTTTCGAGCCTTTGCCCAGGTCCTTTCTCTCACAAGTCAGGCCTGGTGTAGCCAGTCTGACAGGCCCCTCCAGGTAGGAGTGTTTCACTCCAGACCCTCTTCGGGGCTGGGCCACTGTTGCCTGCTGATGACTCCATGGAGCTCCTGGTTTTGCTTTGTTTTTGCTTTTCACATGCTCGGCCGAGATGGTGTGGGTCGTCCACAGTTCGTTGTGGTCAGCGAGCACGGAGTCTCCGAGTCCACAGCAGCTCCCCCCTTGACCCAGGGCGCAGACCGTACCCCGTCCCGTCCCTGCAGCCAGCTTCTCAGGGTGCCACCTTAAGTTAACATATCCGACCATATCCTAGCTTGGCCCCGCGACCTACCCCTGCCCCTTCCCTCCCTCAGGGCTTCCTGGAGCAAGGCCCCACTGCCTCTCTGGCTTCCTGTCCGTCAGCCTCCTGCCGACTGACTACTTCTCTTGCTCCCCGGGTGGGCACTTCCCGTGGCTCCTCAGCCTCGCCCGGGAAGCCTGTGATGACTCCTTTTGCCTACTTCACCATCATCTACCATCAGGCTCCTGTTCTGCCCAAATGTTGGCAGTTTCCTGGAAGTTCCATTGGACAACATGCCTCCAAGCCCTTGTCCACAAGGCTGCTTTCTGCTCTCAGTTCTGAACAACAGCCAGCTCTGGTGACTCCTCCCGCCCCAGAAAATCGGCACCAGGGTCCTCTCTGTCCTGTCCTCAGCCTCCAGGCTGGGCCTGTTTGCACCTGTCCACCTTGTCCTGGTGGTAGCCTCTTGGCCTGCACCCTGACCCCTCCTTTTCTGCAGGTTCCTCTTGGTGGCTCCAAAAAGACTTCCAGCCAACAATGCCATCCTCGCTGGGTCCCCCGCACCTGCCCTCCTCG